CCTCTAATGATGGTATGGCTTGACAACATTTGTAAGTGCCATTCAGGGCTTTAGTTGCCCACCTTCAATGTCTCATTTTTTTTTGAGATGAACAGCAACAGACTGATACTTCTAATCATAAGCATAAGCACACGCAGCACGCGCCTTTTGAATACTATTTGCATGTCCTGCTAGTCATTTATCATATTTCGTGTTCCGAAAAATATCATTTGTTTCGAATGAGGAGCGGTCGATATGCCAATTATTGCAACCCTACCATAAAAAGAAGGGAAGCACGGCGTTCGTCGGGCCGCCCGGCTCACGCAGGGCTTCCCTCCTTCTTATGGGTTCGCCCGGCTGCGCCGGGCGCTCCTCCTCCTTGTGAGAAATTTGCTATGCGTAAATAACTCTTCGGGTTCACCTTTTGCTTTTAAAGCTCTAAACTCTCAGAATTAGCTCCGAGTTGGGAGCGATTTTTTCTGTAAGCCAACCTCGCTGTGTCCGAAAGGACATCGTTTAATATCACAAAGGCGATTATTCAAAGACAAAAGAATTCAGAGACTTCATCGCGGCTGACGCTACTATGTTAGCTACCATCAATGTTCCTCAGCGCCATCATCAAGGGCTCTCCTCTTTCTTGGGGCAAAGGAACTTTGCCCCAAAATATCGAATTAATGAAATTCCCCTTTTTAATATATTATTTCGCTTTTTTGCTGAGCGAGAGTAAAGACTATCAAATACTTTCGAAGATTTACCTCCTTTACTCTACGGATACATCATTAAATGTGAATCCAACATTATTACCGGTCGGATAAACTTTGCTAAGAATGTTATGAAAGCAAATAGAAACCGTGATCTTTTACTTAATAACAAACTCTGCTGGGTAGCGGTCGTAATCTAATAGCAAGAAGTGAACCAAATTCATCCCCTTATAATCACACATCTTAACCTTGTCGAATGACACATATCAAAAGTCAAAGCTAGATCGTAAATAACAAAGGCGCTAGGAGGTGATTGGTGTGTGGATCTTCTTCTCCGAGGCCTCTCCTATTGTCAGTGATCCCATCCTGTCCCTTCCTATTGATTGCACTCCAAGCCCATCAGGAGTTATGGATTTCCACTAATTTATTTCGCAAAATCCTGTTCCTTAGGAGCGTAGTCCGGCCCTACTACTCACCATAAGTGTTCCCATACCGCCTCCTACCAAGTTTGAACTCCCCAGAGGTAAACTGAAAGTTCTGGCACAAACTTCGCCTTCTATAAGCGTGGTCCGATTCTCCCATCTACGATAAATGTTCCCATCCTGCCGCCTGTACTCCTGCCAAGTTCGAATGCCCTAGGGCCAAATTGACTTTGCGGAGGAAAACCCCACCCCCTGTGCACGGATTCCGGTCCTGCCACTCACAATAAGCGTTCCCGTCCTGTCGCCTTTGCTCCTACCAAGTTTGAAAGCTCTAGGTCCACGGGGACAGGAGTTATGAACTTGCGACCTAAAATTTTTATTGTGCACGCCTCGCCCGTTATGAACGGAGTCCGGTCCTGCCACTAACCAAAGGTGTTCCCATCCTGCCCCCCTTACCCCTACCAAATTCAAACGCTCTAGGTCCGGTCCACGGAGACAGGAGTTACGAATTTCCGGTCAAGCACACACACCGACACTCACACACAAACACACAAACACATCGACACACCAACAGACGCACTTAGCGAATTATATAAAGTAGGATAAAGAATGATAATCCAACTAGCATGACATATCCAAGCACAGCATCCCTTATCGTGGTTCCGCTTCCAAGATCGCTCGAAGAAAAGAAAAATATGAGACAAAGTCCATCAACTATTAGAAGGGAAGAAAGAAAAAGGAAAAAATCACACTTCACTTAAATTCGGAAACTGGATAATCAGTAAAAAACTCGTGATGACATGTACAGATCCGCTCTTCGAAGTGGAATCTCGTTTCATTGGATCCCAACTCAAAATGTTATTTTGTTCTACAAAGGCCAACGCCGTAAATTCAGGGTGTCTACCAGATCACCCAAGATGTGTACAGTATGGCCCGTATTAGACATTCAGTTTCAATATGAAGCTTAAGAAATTCTGAGTTGTTCGTGAATGATTGGGAAAATTTCATTCAATCATGAGTCTACTAACCGCTCGCACCCTGATCCCATGATAGTTGGAGCACTTTAACGCATCCCTCTCCTCCTCACGAATGCTATATTTGAGGGCTACTCTGAAATTTTTCGTTCGAACGAGTGCCAAAGTACTCCTCCTTCCTTAGCTTTACCTGAGATATATTTCAATGATCCAGTCCATGTTTTTCACGGATTTCACTACCCAGATGCCCTGTTTAGCCCGATGCCGGTCTCCGAACAAGCGTGAAGCAAAATTCTCCCCCTCTTAACCATTGAATTTCTCGTACACGGTATCACCTGTATCACCTGTCATCCGGTTGATCGTCGATCTACTCAAGCGGATGCCAGTAACGTCTCCATTCGTCCCTGTCGCGAGCCAAATAGTCCAGTGAATCGTACTCGATCGAAGGACAAGAGACCCAACATTCCTTTCACTCGGAGCTTTCGTGAAGAAGTCCCACTATCTCGTTGACGGCCGTCCTGGTGTTCGCTTGACGTCTCGAGGCATCCAGTCTGGTCCAACGGTCATCACTACATCGCATGACGTGTCCTGATTTTTGATTTCTTAGCGTATTCGACAGCATCCCTAATCTTCGTTCCCCGACGGAGCTCGGAACTCCGGATTCCCTTCCGCGCTTGCGTGTACAGGGAAATTCCGAGCGTCGTCCTTTCCACAGCGCGTTGAGTGACGCTAACTGCATGCTCATCCTGCTTCCGTAAAGTCCAAGTCTCTGGAGCGTATTTCAAAGCAGGAAGGACTGCAGTATCGGAAAGGTGAGCGCGGAGTCGGATGTTCTATGTTTTTTCACTACACCCTCGATGTTCTTAAATGTTCTCCACGCCGCGCGTTTCCGTCTCTTCAGCTCCGGAGCTAGGTCGTTCATCATGTTGACTTCCAGACCGAGAGACACATAACTAGAGCATTCAGAGATATTCGTTATGTTCAACGTGAAAGTAACACCAGGAACTATTCCGTTTCTCTAACCTCATCTTCGTTTGGTTCAGTTGTAAGCCGTCGCTTCCCACAAGCGTCGTCGAGTTCGGCCAGCATTTGTTCCGTCTGCTCGATGTTGGGTGTTATAAGCACGATGTCATCTGCAAGGAGGAGATGATGTAAGTAGCGGCCGCCGAGACCACTCCCATGCGTACCCATTCCATATGACGCAAGTGGTTCTTGAGAGCGGCACGGAAAAGTTTGGGCGAGGTGGTGTCGCCCTGCCGAGCCTCCCTTCTCACCTTGATGATGACCTTATTTATAATAGAATGGCGAGATCCTGATCGTGAAGTTGTTGTAGAGCTCACGAAGCATCCCTAAGTACAGGGTAGGAACACCCTGCTTGCTCAGGGCTTCAATTACCGCTTCTGTCTCGACGCTATCAAAGACTTTCTTCAAATCGTGAACGTAAGAGATAACGGCACTCCGTATTCCCTCGATACTTTAGTTAGCCTTGTAACGGTTTGGAAGTGTTCGATTGTACTGAACCCTCGCTCTCCGAAACCCTGCTTTTCCGCATGGCTGTCCTTCATCTAGTATTCTGCCAATTCTGTAAGAGATAACTCATGTGAAGAGTTTATAGTTTACAGAAAGCAGGCAAATTAGGCCATAATTGCCATCGTCGTCCGGATCTCCCTTCTTATACAGCAACACTGCCTTGCTAGTTTTCCTCGAAGTGGGGGCTTTGCATTCCGAAAGGTACCGCGTTGAAGCAGGACAGGGTTTCTGACAATGACAGGCGGAAGGCTCCTTAGATGTCCAGCTTTGATCCTGTCGGGACCGAGTGCCTCACCATTCCTCATCGACGTGATGACATGTCGAATTTCGGAAGGGAGAACCGGAGGAACGACGCATCCATCTTGTCAAGATGGTAGGTAAACAAGTAGGCGTGGCTGTCGAAGAGTCAGAGTATAAGTTGTAGATGACCTTCTCCATTGCCTTTCGGGATGCAGTAACAATTCCGTCAGGACGACGAAGGGAAGTCATCTTGGCCTTACAATTGATGAAACTCCGGCGGGCGTTGCGAATGCTCTTCCCAGCCTCGGCGGCTTCAGCCAAAACTGCTGCTCTTCTCTCTTTCAGATCTTCTTTTATCGCTTCTCCGCATAGCTTTGCAAGTTCGGACGTTAGCTGGTTATTGCCTGCAGCTCGCGCGATTCCACGCTGGTGTATCAGCTCAAGAGTCTTCGAAGAAAGACGTTTCCTCACATCCTTAAGACTCTCAGCTTTCCTGACGCAATCGTGAAGATGTTCAACGAGCCGGTCGCATTCTCCATCGATGTTTTCGCTGACGGAATCTTCCCACAAACTCGCCAGGGAAGCGAAGTAATCCCATTTGACTACAGTCTTGGGGCTTCGTTTCCTTAACTTCGCAGCTCTCTCCACGCACTGAAAAACGGAATCTAGAGCGGAGGAGACAATGGTTTGATTCTGTGTAGAACTTCGGAACAATAGCGACGTCAGTCAGGTAAAACTTTCGATTGACGATGATGTGATCTATTTCATTATGGGACTGCCCACCAGGTGACCCACATGTCCATCGGGAATGAGAGGGCTTCTGGAACAGCGAGTTACCATGGATAGTGTGGGTCGATATGATAAACTCGGACAGCCTTTCACCCTGCTCATTCCATTCCATTGCGTGAGTTCCGCTATGAAGCTCTTCAGCCGTTCTTTCTGGGGCCAGTATTGGAGTTGAAAACACCGGCGATGACCTTCTCTGTAGATCCTCTCCAGATCCATATGGAACGCCTCCAGCTATTCTTCATCGTAGCTCGATGTTGTTGCGTAAACAACAAAGATTGTCAGAGCTGGAGTTGAGTCACATGTTCTTAATCGCGAACGTCCGATTAGGGTTGTTAAGTTCCTGTACGAATCGAGTTCATGGCCAGTTACGTGTGGACGAGGACAGCTACACCGCCGACGCCTCTGCTGTCGCATGTTCCAAGGAACGGTTCCTCTCCAGTCTCAAGTACAGCGTGCAGCGGGCGATGCCTTCTCCCAATTTTAAAAGTGGCATGCAACAGGCGGTGCCTTCTCGTCTCGGTCACTCCGATGACGTGATACTTGATCTTCCTGGCTTGCATCATCAGATCTTCGATGCACGCCTCCGATGCAAGTGTTCGTGCATTGAAAGTACAGGTCGCCATCCTAGTCCTTCTCCTTTTAGGCGGCCTGTCGTGACCCTGACATTTTAGCAGCCTCTGCCGGTATTGGCCCCCAACGCTGCCGTGTAGGGGGCTTCCTCAGATTCAGGGAAATGAGACCCACTTTTCATTAATTTTTGGCATATGAACATCCACATGAAGCTTGCTAGGCTCTAACACGTGGGCACGTGGGGGGCCCACCATTAGCCGTGTGGACATGCGCACATGCCGTTAAGTTATAAACACATATTTTTTATAAATATAATTGAAAATTATAATGAATGCTCCAAGCAAAATTCCATCGAACAGTAGAAAACGTTAGCGGGAGCTCTCGGATCATCCAAGCCGACATCTGATGGTAGAGACGAAAGCATGTGGCAGAGCAACAGCTCGCCTCACTTTGGATAGGCAGATATTTTAATGTACAATTTAACGCGTGGGGAGCCAATTCAGCCGCAACTTCGAGCGGACGGATAAGGGGAACTCAAGCAAGGGGGCTGCCAGCCCTCCAATTCTTTGCCAACAACCTAACAACAGCTTCGAGCGCGAAACGGCAAGCCGGTCAATATAAGCCTCGCAGAACTGGAAATGCCAAAACTTTGCATTGGAGCACATGATGAATACAAAAAACTTACAAAGAAAAGTACAAGGTACACATTCTACTCAACGCCTCCGTTACAGCGACCTTGGGGAGCCTCTTGCCACTTCAACAGGTGGCTAGGTCTTCTGACCATGTCTATTTTGCCAACGCTTGCACCAGTCTTTCTTCTGCTTTACGACTCCTTGAATTTCGTCGTTCTGGAACAATGCTGCCTTATCTCCTGTGAGCCCGCTTCTTATCCAGACATAGTATGGCTTCCACTGTCAAATTCATCTCCCCGTTCTCATCCTCTTGAGAAGCTCGATAGCTATGCCCTCTAGGAGAAGGCTGTACTGGTCTCTCTATGTTTGCTTCTTTCTTTCCCGGGTGATGGTCCTGCGCGCCACTTCTTAGTGAATTCCTAGCTTTTCAGTGATCCCTCATGAGACTTTATACACATTTGTGGCGAACGGGAGTTTTTTCAAAGCCAACCTGTCAACATCCTGTCGATCCTGTTGCTGGAGGTGTAAATAATCTGCATTTTAAAAAAAGAAATCCAGGAATCTCATGAAATAAAGTTATGAGAGCGCCTCATTCACGACTGATTGCAAGCAATTAAAAAACAGGGTGCGCCATAATTATGGTAACACTTTTACGGAAATTCTCAATTTCCGTGTTTCGAGGGTCTTTCCAAATCTGCACCTTTTCTTGTGTTTATGATATCCCTTAGCTCTCATATCTGCTTTGGTGCTAGAAATTTGTCTGTTTTCGGAAAAGGGTGAAGTCTCGCAATCATCCAACAGCCGCTCCGTCTTTGCGCGCATTTGGTGAGTTCACTTCCGGGTTCTCTCTTCGTCGTTTCGACATTCGACAGTCTCCTGTATCGCGATGCGTAGACAGGTCAAGGGCCAGCCTTAAGACGGCGGCCTTGTCTCGACTACCACCCCTTCCAGGTAAACTGCTTCGAGACTGCAGACAAACGAGAAAAAAAAACTTTCGAGATGAATGTATATTCTACCACGATGAGGAAAGTATTCCAGGAGTAAGTACAGTGGTATCCAGATAGGTTTCACAAGAATTATAAACTTCCTGACTAGAAGAAGTTTGGGAGGAAGCACAAGTCCTGTGCCACTTGCACGCGTCACGCGTTTCGATACACTTCTTTCTGCCAAAAAGATTCTCAGCGTAGAAGGGATGTTCAGGTTACAGACTACACTTGTATTTCTCACTACGAATATAAAAAAACTTAAGAAGGGGCAGATCGCTTCTCGTGGCTGCTTAAAGTCAAAGATTGATCCTAAGTTACGATCTGGAAACACTCGCTTACTTGCACACGAATGGGAAAAGGTCAAGACTGGTTTTGAGGAGATGTCGCAAATTATCCCTGCTTTCAACTGGTCTACGAATTTTCCAGTCCAACCCAGTAGGTCCAGCATAGTGTATACATAGTAGTAGCAAAGTGTATACAGAGGAGGAAAAGCTGCGCTACAGAATACACCACTGCTGCTGCTTCTAAGAAGTCGTTGAAAAAAGTCCGAGCCAGGGCTGGAGTTTTTCAAGAAACTTTGCGTGTCGCCGTCGCTGAGCAGCCGAAGCGTCTTTGAGTTATAATTACTTCAGGAGAAGGTTATATCAGATGACCGTGCGTTCATTTTGTTGATGCGATGCATCGTAAATAGTTCACATAAATTCACCATGTATCAATGTGTAGTGCGGTTTCTGCACAACCATTACTTTGTTACCATATTTATGGCGCACCCTGTATTAACGCAAGGCATTATCTATATGCCCAAATCCTAGCTTGTTGACAGCACAAAACATCTAACAATGCATTCTTGTCACTGTCATTTTTACAACTGAATCTTTCGTATCTTATCTTATCGCCTTCATTGCTGTGTCGTCAAGGAAGGCAATCTGAGTTACGTTTTTACCTTAGACCTGAGCAGGATGGTAAGCTATGTTGAAATGACTCAAGGTGTTTAGATCAGAGAAGCTGGAACGTCCATAAACAAACACAATAAAGGCCTGGCGGCTGAAGAAAATGACGATTTTGGGGATTCGAAGAAGATGGTTTTAAGGACGATCAATTTATTTTGCATGTGAACACGAAATAAGGCATCCTTCTATACAGGTGACTGATGACCGAAATATGAAAAACTAGCGAGCAGGGAAACACGCTAAACAACACGACGCCATGCATGCGCAGAAGACTTTGCTTTTAGCTACAGCCAAACTTTGCTTCACAGAGCACCACTGTGAGAACGACTGCCACGCAGGGACGTAGAAATCTGTGCGAACGCCTGCCTACTCTGCCATAACGCTATCATAGTTTGCTGTCGGTATCAAATGCAACTTTACGGAGGGTAGCATAGGCATGAGGGCTGCTACTATGCAAACCCCAATGCTTATTACTTTACTTCTGCTAAAAGTTTTGCAGGATGTTGAAGCCACCAAGTTCAATTCAGACATGGACATTGTTCGAACAACGATGTCAGTACCAGTTCAAAAGGAATCCACTTTCAAGCTAAAAACACTGTATAAAATTGGCATTTCCTACTAAAAGGAGTAGTACACTCATTCTGACACTTTTAGGTCTTCAAAGAAACCAATCAGTGGCAACTTGTTTCGACAAGCGAGAGAACAGCCTCCAGTCGACAAGTAGGTCTATTTGATAGGCTTATTCAACAGGAATCATCATTCTACGGACGATATGCTGTCTATAAGTTTGGAAATCTATCACATCATAACATGATCTCCCGAAAAGTTGCTCTTGACCACCACGGTGGGAGACCACAATGATAGTCATCGACCAAGATCTTAGCGATAAAGAGGTTACAATGAGTGAAACTTAAATCTGAATCAAAGGCACCGTTCATGATAAAAAAGTTATTGAGTTCTTACCTTATTATACTCAGCGGCCCCCATGGCTTGTAGAAAGGACCCTCTCACTCCCCCAATCTCGACGTCCAGGGCATAGTGGCAGCCCCTTTGTTGCCGTAGTTCGCGTTCCCGCCCCTCGATCGGTGTCACGTTAGACGAGTGTCGAGACAATACACATTGCTATTATTCGTTCTAGGACCTACGCACAATCAGCTAATCGCCGAGTGATTAGGCGATGTTTTTCTCCCATTCTTTTCTCCTCTGTTTTTCTCTTTGCTGCCGCGATCCCTTATTTAATTTCCTACTCCTCGAGGCTGAGAAAGGTGAGCTACTTTTACTGTTACTAAAGTTTTTTTGCTTATTTATGCTTATAAGTGAATGAATTTTTGCTTACCGTTGTCTGTTATTCGCACCAGGACCCACACGCGCGCAGTGATACACACCGTTTAGCTCGTCCGGACATCCCACTCTTCTTCATTTTTCTGGTTTCATTCTCGTCTAACCCTCTTTTTAACGTTTTTTCGAAGCCTTTTTTCATTTTGGAAACACAGATGCACGCAGTTTCTTCACCTCAGTCGCACTAGTTTCGATCTTGTCTTCCATTTCTCATCATAATCTGGATTACCCAAAATTATCGTGAACGGTGCCTTTAACTCTCACACCACTATTCGAAAAAATAATAAAAGCGTCACAGCTAAGTATCAAATTACTGAAAAACTCGACGTCTCGACATTTAACGAGAACAAATTTGAAGATGCGTTTATAACAAAAAGGAAAAAAAAGCAGATTTTCGCCTTAGTGTTGAAAAACGCTTGTGGCCTTGATGCCCACGATATTTCTTTACTATCTTCTCCCGTCAAGCATTAATTCCGCGCAGTCGACGTCAGCCCTCACACATAAAATTCGTTTTTACCTAATGTCGATCTATGTACATGGTTATCTATGTGTCTGCGCCCTTTCCCGCTCGGGCCTATACCATCATAGGCACTGTCGTCATTGTATTTTCTCGGGGACGGGGACTACCTCTCTAACCGCCTTGATATGCTCAATTTTAACAACGGCTCACAACGGCGACATAATCTTCAAGGTACCTCGGTACAGTTCAAGCCTCACCATCACGTTTGGTGTCATATCTGGTAGTCAGTTGGCACTTCTCTAAACTCTCTAGTCGTTGCTCTACTCGCCTCTTTTCGTGGTGAGATGAAGCCTGAACGCTCTTGAGCTTTATCCGTACTGCACTCTCGCAGGGCATTCCTGTCAGCGATCCCCAAGGGAACCCATGTAGGAATTCAAAACAACATGTATGTATAACCCATAGCGACAGTAAAAGGCATCTCTGGCTGTTCACCGTTTTCATGTCATTTCTGTCATGATAATCTCGTACAACCTCTATTTTGCTAATTTTAAAGTACTTATTCTTCACAAAATCTGAGAAATTTCTCGCTTCCTTCACCACTGATGTATTCACTACTTCCAACCAATACATCCGGTTTTTGGCTTAAGGAGGGTACCCAAAACTATCGTGAACTGCCTTCAAAACCAC